CACTCAGTGAGCCAGACTAACAAAGAAGCCACTACCAGCAATTTGCTGGGTGGAGTGGTTGAGAGAAAATGGGAGAGCTCCAGCAAGTCTCACAACAGCGATTAAGTCCACGGCTCAGGAGTGACACCCAATTGATCAGTCAACACTGGTCTCTTGGCCCTATACCTTACAAAGGGACACAGTGGTTGTCCTCTCTTCCTGTGAGCCCATAATGGGAAGACAGAAAAAAAAACATGTAAATGCTGCCACTGGGAACTTTATTTTTTATGATCCAGACCCTGAAATGGGTATGGTAGACCAGGCAATGTCTGGACCCAAGAGGGATCACATCCATTTGTGCTAATGTTCTTGTGTTCCTGCCTCACACGGAACTCACGGATTCTGTGGGAGGCCTGGGAGTTAAGACATTGAGAACTGCTTCTTTTGCATGTCTCCCTGCAAGCATTCGAGAGTCCCAGCTCTGTTCCTGTCAGCTACAATTTTCTGAACTAGTGAATGGTGCAGTCTGCCGTCCCCAGGTGCACTCAGGAATGAATGGAGAGATTGCCTTCAGGGAGATCTTTATTCCCAAGGATTTTTCTTGCCCTTGTGTATTTTTGTTCCTGAAATGTGACCTCAGTGTGGCTAGCATCTCCTGGGTCACCTCCACAGCATTAGCTGTAATGTGGCTTGTGGAGGTCCAAAAAACTGGAACCTGACTACTTGGAGAAACTAAGTGGGCTCATAAACAGTCATTAGTAGTGAAGAATGACTGACTGGCTCTTTCAAGACAGCTGTTTGCTGCACCATTCAAATTTATTCTATATACACGTGAGGATTCTTCAGTAATGTCTTCTGATTTACCACTTGTCTTTGTTTTTAACATTGAGGAAAAACATACATTGAATTGACTGGATAGTGACTTTAATAGTGATGGGTATAGAGATATTAACGTCTATAGTCATAAATGGAGCTGTTTTGGAGCTACACTTTGCTTGTCTTGGAGAGGCTTATAAAAGGCACCAAAGGACATGAAGAGAGAACAACTATGAAATCATGACAGGAACTCAGCCTTGTGAATCTTATTTTGTAATGCTCCATTTGTTAAAATCTGCATTTATTTCCACCATATTTCTTGATGACAGGGTGGCCATACCAACAGCTCTTTAGCTCACACCACTACTTTAAGCTACCCTAATAAAAGGAAGAAAGTGAAAAGATGACTGGCATTTACTGAGATCCCAAGCACCTGCCAGGTGTTTCACACCTATGTGTTTCTCTAAAATACTCACAACAAGCTTCAGAGGTAGCTTTTCCCCTCATCCACATATCCCTTTTATAGTAGGACAATCAGAAGTTCAATAACTTGCCCAAGGTCATACTGCCTTCAGAGTCAGAAGTATTATTTGAATCACGCTGTACTAAAACTCATGTTTATTCTGTTGACCAAATTAATTTCTTCAGTAGTTAGTGTCATATATGGTCAAATGACTGGATGGTTTCTCCTCCTAATCTCATTTATCTCTTATATTTGTATAATAGTTTATTATTTAAAAATGCTTTCATATTAATCATATCATTTTAGTCTTAAAATAGCCCTATGAAGTATGTAAAACTAGTATCCTGTCCCCATAGTATATTATTATGAAATGGATCAGAAAGTTAAGTAACCTGCCCAAGGTCTGTCAAGGCTGACTCTAAAGCCAATGTTTTTCTCTTTTTTCTCTCTTACATCTTCTTTTTTCTGGTCACATGGACCATGAGAGTTTATTTTTATGACAGCTAAGCATGATCGATTCAAACCTGGGCAACTATATGGGTATTGGCCACAAGGCTCATAATGAGCTGAGACAAAGCAGTTAGCCACAGATTATAATGCCACTGCAGTGCCATGCCAAATGACAAGAAGGTTGGAGTAATGAAATTTTACGCGTGTTAAGAGACCACATCTGAGGTTGAGCACAGCCACATTGACCGCTGGAGGAATCACAGTGAAACATCTGGGGAAGGGGAAGGGTCTGTGTGTGCTAGGAGGATTCAGAGCAAGATCTCTCTGAAACAGCGATTATGGTGGCAAATGTGTGCAGCCTCAGATAAGGACCAAATATTTATTCTGGCAGAGATTAAATCTTTTCTTTCCCTGAATCTATTATGGATCTTGCAGAGAATCTGCCCAAGAATATATGTCGCTGATCAGCCAACTCACTGAGCCAGAACTGTACTTTGCCACTGCTGTGGCTGAAAAGCTGCAGAAGGCTGGTTAAAGGTCTCCTCTCTCTCTCTCTTAACTGTTCTGCATCCAGGATTAATTAGTGACTCAGAGATGAGCTGAATCATCAACAGTCCCTTCCCCACATCCAGGATTTATACAGTGACTTCTCATTGAAGAACAGGGGTACAATGAACAGCCCACATTTGTGGGGTGGGCCAAGGAGCAATAGCATCTGCAGTCATGGTTTCTTAATTCCCCAGCCCTTTGATTCCCCTAAACAGATTCTGACTCAGGTTGCTATAGCTTTGCTTAATTAAGGATGAGTGTAACTTGACTCGGTACTAACATACATACACCCTTAGAAATAAATGCCAGTTGTTTAAGTAAGAAAAAGTCATATCATCATTTCTGAATTCCTAGAGAATTAAGGAGTAGGAATAAAATGGATCATATTGTTAATTATGGGTATAAAAGATGCAAAAACCCTACCATCGGGAACATTTACCCGTGCATTTTGTTTAACTACTAGGAACTTTGCTTTGTGCAGGGGATGTAGCGGTGGCACTAAAACAGAACAAAACTGAGAACACAGTGTCATAGTAAACAGGGAATGAAGAAATCGTGAGTACATGTAGCTACCCTTGGGGACGCACCCACATCACTCTGCTCAGAGATAGAACGTGGGAGTCTCAGTCATCATCTTTCAAGGCGAGCCATGCTGCAGGGCACCAAGGAAGCAGAGCTGTTCATCCTGTTTCTCAGTATCCCTGCATATGGAAAGCAGCCTTTTTTGATCAGCCTAGATTCCTAAATACTTTCTGAGGTCAAGATTTCTGGGTATCTTCCCATCCTTTTGTTGGGTATATGATGTGTTTCACATACTAAAGGAAAATTGGAAAGTTGAGAAAAGCCTGTCATGAAAAAATAAGTGAAGGATACACAAAACTGTATGAAGACAAGTGCCTAAAATCTCACCAGAAGTCTTAATTTATAAACTTTAAGCAAAGTAAGTGCTTAGTAAACATTTTATTTATGTACTGAATAAATAAACAGATGAGCCAAATTATTAAATCTTAGATTCAGTTAAACCTTTCCTACATCTCAGTTCATATGGATTCTGGACCTTCTTCCCCATGCCTTAATCTTCCTTCTTTTCCTCCATCCCTACTCTTCTTCTTCCTTACTTTTCTCTTTTTCCTTCTGCTTTTCCCTGTTCCTCTTCCTCCTCTTCCCCTTCCCCTTCTCTCTTTCCCCCTCACTTTCTTCTTCTTACTCTTTGTTCTTTTTTTTACTTTTAAAAAATATATTTTATTAATTATGCCATTACAGTTGTTCTATTCTCCCCTCATTCCCTTCCACCCTGCACACCCCTCCCCCACCATTCCCTCCTTTAGTTTATGACCATGTGTCTCAAGTTCTTTAGATTCTATATTTTCTACACTATTCTTGCCCTCCCCCCTATCTATTTTCTACCAACCATCTATGCTACTTATTTTCTGTACTTTTTCCCCCCTTCTCCTTCTCCCACTCCCCTGTTGCTAACCCTCCATGTGATCTTCATTTCTATGGTTCTGCTCCTGATCTAGCTGTCCTCTTAGTTTGCTTTTGTTTTAGGTGTGGTTCTTAATAACTGTGCTCTTTGTTCTTCTCCTATTTCTTGAATTAGGAAACAGAAGACCACAGAGTCTGTGAACAAATGTTGTGACTCAGTCTCTTAGAGCATCTCAATTACAACTAAATTGTATTATCTTTTGATATCCAATCTATTGCTTAGCCAATACATCAGATTATTTCTTTACCTATTCCTTCTGCCCTCCTACATGCTGTGATACATTTTCAAGAGAGTAGGAGGGACTGATCATACCAGACCAGTAAGGTTACTTTCATTTTATGTGTCATTGGAATACTAATTCCAAGTCATAGTTGTAACCAATTACTAGAGGAGAAGAGTAAGAGTTTTAATAGCATTATTATTTATGCTTCAGTGTATCACTTCCTAGGAGGTAGATGATATCACCACCTCCACCTTCACCAGCACCACAGTCATAATCTTCATTGCCATAATGTTAAGCTTCTAGAATTCATTGTGTTTTCCCTCCCAGATGTCTTTTTGTGCCACAGAGGTCTCTTCTGCTGTGTAACAGAAAGATATAGCACTGAATACTACATCCCTCTTTGGATCAACCTTAGGAATAGGGATATCAGTGTGTGGAGGGTGATGGTCCTCTGACTCTGGAAACCCCAGCTCAGTTTCCACTGGCCTCTACATCTTTTCTGTGTTGTAGATCTACAGAAAACTGTCATCTGGAGTTGGTGCATCATGCCAGCTCCTCTGCCATCAACTCCTAATTATTCTGTATCCCTCCCCTTGGCCTTGATTCCTCAAAATGTGCAAGTAGGTTTATCTTCCCTCTTTTACCCTACATCTGAATTGTGAAGTGCTCTAGGCCCCAATGTCTTATTAACCTCTCCTAGAAAACAGACCTAACTCACCACACAGAAGTGAGCTTTGCTGTGTTACTACACAGTTGTTAGGTAGTTCTGTGAATCCAGTGTTAATATCCTTTGAGGGCTGTCAAATGATGCAACCTGTATGGTACAGCCTGTGAGAGCAATGTGGGCAGTTTGATACCATTAGTTTTTATGTTTGGGATGAAAGCCCATGGAGAAAAGCAGGATACTATTATGACTTCATGTGAATGCTTCTCTCTGGGTGCCTACACATATATTGAAAGTTGGCAGATCAACATGAAAGAGAGAAAACCTTGTGGTTTGTGATAACTATACCTTTTGCATTTCTTTATCATAGGAACAGGGGAAAATTGGAGTTGTCTTCAACATTGGCACAGTTGACATCTCCATCAAAGAAGAGAGAACTCCTGTAAATGATGGCAAATACCACGTGGTACGCTTCACCAGGAATGGTGGCAACGCCACGCTCCAGGTGGACAACTGGCCGGTGAATGAGCATTACCCCACAGGTACACGTTTTACTCTCAATGACTGTACTCTTTCTGCTTTTTTACTTTTACTTCTAAATGGTAATTTTCTCATGACCATCACTAAATCATAAAACACTGACTATTAAGTGTACATTTCTGGGTTTTTTTTTTGTATGAGAAAATAAGTTATTTCTTTGGGACCTGGACAGTGTAGGGACCTTCTGGAGACTTATTAACTATGCACTGAACACTTTTTGTCAACCTAATACTGCCTAACTGGCTCATACCAAAGGCAATTGTAGGATTTCCAGGGTACTGAAAATGATGAGCAATGGGGGGAACAGCATCATTTTTACCATGAGCTTTATTGATCATCATGGAATAATCAACTTGAGATTTGGGCTTTGAGATACTGTTTCATTAGGTGTGGTTGAAGGTACCATGGCCAGAGATTGCTGAAAGACTATGAAAGGAAGTTGACTGGACTTGAATGAATAAACAACGTCAGAGTAACAGAGAAAAAGTAAGGGTGGGATTCCATTCATTTGGTTGACTTTGGCAATTTTCTTTTCACTTACACTAAGCCTGACTTGATATTCAGAGGTTGGTCCTAGTAGGTGGGAGGGAAGAAGGGTTAATCATCTGTTTAAATTTTATAGTCAAGGAGCATTTGCCAACAAACTCCCAGAACCAGATGGCCGAATCAAGGGCAGTGAGAGGGAAGGTTGCCTTCTTTAAAAGAGATCATTTAAATAATCCTTTAGCTGCATCCCCTGCATGCACCCCCCTCCCCACTTCTCCCAGGAAAAGAACTCTGAACTGCGATCATAAATGTTTCAGAAATGGAAGGGAAAATACTTTGGCTAAGGGCCTTTGCTCCACAATTGTATTATCACCTGGTGGATACGAGAGAAGAGCTCAGAACAATGAACTTTTCATTCATGTGGGCACGATGCTGTCTCACAGTCTCCTACACTCCAAATTTCCCATAATTTCCCCACTTTTATCCTCTCACTTCCTTTATAGTGAAGTGGGCACAGAGATGAGGAAGCCAGAGCACATTTCCAGAAGTCTAAGGCTGTTTAGTGAATAATCATTGTGGCCCAAGAATTTTGAATGACAAGAAGGCTGTGATTATGTTTTCACGCCTACCTCAGTATTATTTTTTAAGCCAATCAGAAATAACTATGTTACTGGGATTTCCCCTAACAGTCAGTCTTCTTATGTCTGGTTTAAGAATTATGGCAGCATCCACAAACAACGTGTAAGACTCCCAGGTCACTGAAGCAGAAAGCCTCACCTGCCCCTTTATCTAACCTCTCAGCCTCCATACAATATCCAGGTCAGCCCTTGCTGAGAGTCTCTTGTCATACTCTTAGTCCTTCTTAAATTAAGTCACGAAAATGACTTCATGCATTTATCTTTGAGCCTTTGAAGAGAGCCAGAGGTTCTAACAGCTACTTTGAATTTTTATCATCATCCAAATTCACTAGACACCAATAGACCTGATTTTTAAATGCGTCTTGCTTAAACTCTGGGGGATGGGGGTTACGGGCAAACCAAAATAGCTTGAGATTTTAAAAGCTGCTTATTTGCCCATAGGAAAAATCAGTCTCTTGCCACGCATATTATCGTTGGCCCTGCTAGTGCTGCTGTAGGGTTTGTTATGTTTTTATTAGGAATTTCAAAGATTTCTAAATTGATATTAACCACTTGCCCTGAGCCAATATAGAATCCAAGAGTTTTTGCTGCCAGCAATGAAAAGGCTCTTTAGTAGTAATTTTAAAGCCACAGATATGCAGGAAAACCAGTGACCCTTGCTGTGTGTCTACCTCTCTGTATCTTTGGTTTCAAATTATGGGTTGCTTCCCATGTCTTCAAAACAAAGAAAAACCTTTCTTTAGTGGCATTGCTTCACACAGAAAACTATTATTACTAGTATCTGCCAGTAACTGTTATTCAGTAATAATAAATGTCATTATACAGTACAGCAGTTATAAGTATGGGCTTTGGAGGCATCTAGCTGGAGGTGGGATGTTGGTGCCGTTACCTGTGAGTCTAACGCAGGCTGGACGAAGACCTTGAAATGCCCTATGCACTGAAATATTTGGTTCCTCTCTCCCCATATAATTCAAAATGCAACACTGATCCAGAAATGTAAGGATATCTAATGGTTCTGACTTTTCTGCTCTGATGATCACGGGTACTTTCAATATATATCAGACTCTTTCTCCCCACATTTGACTTGTGTACCCTGTTTTCTTGGTTCCCTAAAGGAGTGCTTATTCCTCTATTTGGTAATCTAGTTACAAACCTGAAGGAAGTTGTTTAACCTCCCCAATATTTGTTTCCTGGTATGTGAAATATTAGTAATGATAATACTTCCAGGGTTAATGTAACAATTGTGTAAGTCAAACACATGCAAAATGCTCAACATAATTCTGGCTCAATGAAGTCAATATTCAATAAATGTTAACTATAAGGATTACCAAACATTATTTGGGTAGCATTTTTTTTTACTATCACATAGTCACTCATGCAAATTACTTCATCTTTAACTATTAAATCAGATGAAGTAGATATTTTTTCCTCTATATTTCAAATGTAAAAAGAGACCCAGGGAGAGGCTGTGTTTTTCCTAAGGTCACACAATAAACAAGGGACAGAACGGAGACCAGAGTTTCCTTTCTCATCTGGGCACAATTTCCACTATTGCTCCCATAGCCAATTGGGGGACATTTTGACAACTATGTAGATAGAAATGAGCATGATTCTTTTGGGGTGGTCAGGCTTATTCTTTTATTTTAAGTGTCAAGTACAAAGATGAGTATCAATAACCACACTTAGATGATTATTGTAAGATGTAAGAATCCTCTTTTAAAAGAAAAGCTCCTTTAGCTCTGCTGAAAGATTCATTTGTAATGAGTCCAGCTATCCACTTGGCAACAATGGCAATGTGCTTCCATGAAGTAAGTGGAAGAATACCGAGTGTTTAAAGGAGCTCTAACCTCACTTTGTTGCCTAGATTGGAAAGTGGTATTGGAAAGTGCAACCTTCTAATTGTACACTCCACTCTTCCAAGACTTCGTAGGGGTGGCTCACCTTTGAGCTTTGGATACCTTACTTTCTCTCCAGCCTGCTTCCCTGTGAGACTAAAAGAATCCATTTAACAAAATGTAAAACATCTTTAGAGCAGTCTAGCAATGTTTAATTAATCTAATATTGAACTATAAGAGCGGAAATACCCCCTGTATCTGGGCATCTGGGCACAAAACCACTTTGACACAGTTTCTACAGAAGTGATGCATTCTCCCTTATCCAAGCTGTTCTACTTTATTGATGGTAATAAATATAAAAACCATCAAGAAGAGTTCAGGTGTGCTATTTGTCTATTGCTAGCATTGAAACAGTGAAGAAATATGGAGTGGCTCCTATAGAATATTCACCTAAGTTATCTCACTGTGAAATTATTCTCTTGGGACGTTATTCCTGCTCAACAGGTCCCCGTGTACCAGAATGAATGGGTCAACTCCAGAACCTTCTCATGGGCATTTATGGGATTGTATGTGGCTCTGTGGAAACATCCTCTGGTGAAATATTTGGAAACCAGCTGGGCACAGGTCATGTAGCATACCTGCTCTTTGTGAACCAGGGAGGCTTCAAAATGGAAAGAATTCTATAGCCATCAGAACCTTATATCACTTAATTCTGGGAGGTAGAACTCAAAAGCACCTTCTGTCTTTGAACCTGAAAATAGAAAGGCTAAGAAACAGGAGAGGGAAATAAAAGGAGAATCAGCCCCAAGCTAGCACCCAGACACTGAGGAATGTTCTTTTAAAAGCTTCTGATTACTACTGCCTTCACACAATGCAGTGGTGGGGACAAGGGAGGGCGGGTGAGAGGTGAGTTGAGCATGAGAAATTAATTTTAGCCCCAGCTCTAGGCCCCCTGGGAGGCTGAGCTGCTTGGGATTGTGAAAGATCCTTTCTCTGCTCTGAGTGGGTGGCTGGTTGTGTCTTCAAGGCTATTTGCACCCTGAGCCCCACTGTGCAGGAAGGCCCATTCCAGTCCGAGCCCAGCTTCCTGGAAAGGAAGACTGATAACTCAGATATGTAGGACTTCCGTCTTCCCATGGCAAATGGAGCTGAGGAGAGCAGGGTCTCACTTGCTTGTTTGTTTTTTACCTCTTGATACTGCATGCCAAATCTGTTGAAGTGCTCTCTGAACGGGAATTCCCTTCCTAAATCAATGGAGTATCTGCTGATGGCCCCAGCTTAAATCCTATTTGATGACCCAACTCCGAATATGAAAGGGATGTAGAAATGGTTCCCCTTCTGAGACCCTAGGTTAGAAAACTCCCCGCAGTTATTTGAGTGTGTCAAATTCCACAAAATCTTGTCTTTATAGGGTGTATAAGTAAGGACATCATTGTAGCGCTTACTGGTGCTCAACATGCCTTCACATGCATTATAACATTTGAGCTTTGCTCTATCCCGTGAGGGAACTAGGTTTGGTGTTATTATTACTGCCACTCCCATTTTAAGGTTACATCATTGAGGCTCTGAGAATCTAAATAGTTTACCCAATATCACACAACTTAAGGGGGAGAGCCAAGATCCCTGTCCCGATCCTCAGACTGTGCTACCTCAAATTTCCTGAGCATTTTTCTATTTCTCAGAGTCATGCTTTTATTGATACTGATACTAGGCTTTTAGGTTATCATTTTTGTTTAGGTTTTTCCATCAAAAGTATTATCAAGTAGAAGTGCCTGCCAGACTAGTTTAGTCAGTAGTGTTTCTCAGCCTTGGCTGCATCCACAGTTTGTGCTAGATAATTCTTTGCTGTGACAGGCTATCCTGTGTAGGAAGTTCAGCAACGTCCCTGGCTCCACCAATTACAAGCCAGTAGCCTCTCCAATACCAACTGTCTTTGTGAGGGACAAAATCATCCCTCATTGGGAATTACCAAGTTAGAGAAAGTCTCCAACATATTATATTTCAAATGCTTATTATCCTTTACAGTTTATGCAGTATACCTGG